GGGGCTAGCATATATATATATATAGAATACATGTATAGAAGTACACAGGATAGATAGACAGATAGATAGATAGATAGATAGGTAGGTAGATAGGTATGTAGATAGATAGATGTTATACATAATATATAGTGTATATATATATACAGTATATATATATATGTGTAGTATATGCAGTGCGTATAAATAGAACAAACAGGTAAATACATAAACATATGTGTATATATATATATATATATGTGTGTGTGTACGTATGAACCGAAAAGCCATAGGAGCCAGGGCCTCTGCAACGCAGCAAGACACAAGACTGGTCCCAAACATGGGAAAGGTCTTGTAGGGAAGTCAGAGTGCAATGACCCAGACTTCCTAGTAGCAGCTACTAGGTACCGGTCTCTCAACGCATCGTTTGGAGGCAACAAAGCCGCTTGTGATTTCGTCCGTGGGCTAGTAGCAGTGAACGAACGGCGACTAGCTCAGAGGCATCTCTCACACAGCGACTCAGAATTCTTGAAGAACATGATTGCTATTTTGTTCGGAACATCAAAGCCGCTTTAACAGAGACTCCTCAAGAAAAAGCGAGGGGCATTCAGAAAGTCAGCGTCTGATAAGTGGTACGTCAATGTGAGGACAACGCTGAAACGCTGCAATTTCTGAGTGCTCGACCCTGAACTCGAAAGCCCACAATGAATCCGAAAACGTGAAAAAAGGAGAGAACCTGAGACTCGGAAACACTCCATGCGACCTCGATGCAACAGCCTTGTCCTACCTGCTTGCCAGGTAGCAGAACGATCGGAAAGCCGCAAACAGCACAAAGCACGCCTTCGGATGATGTCGTGTTGTAGTACTAGTCATAGTATTTCTTCTTCTACTAGTAGTAGTAGTAGTAGTAGTAGTAGTAGGAGTAGGAGTAGTAGGAGTAGTAGTAGTAGTAGTAGTAGTAGTAGGAGGAGAAGTCGTATTACTCGACCAACCGACAGCAGCAACGGAACATCAGCCAGGAGCACGATCACGACGACGACTGCTGCTACTAGCACTGGATTGAATCTGGCGTTTGGGAACGTCGTCATGGACCGCAACCTCCGTCTTGGCCTATACGAGGATTGGTCCTTTCTGTGGCAATTAGGCGCATCTGCAAGCGCATTTATTATCCTGCTCTTGCAGTTACTACGATGATGGGACTACCAGCACTCCCTACGGCTACGGGTTTCTTCAACCAACCTGAGTAACCTGAGCACCGTTGTAAGTCTCGAACTTCGGATGACATCCAAAATGATCTCGAACCTAAACCCAACACCCTGACCAGTGCGATGTCCAGGTACTGCTCAGTGCACGCTGTAGGCCACTCGTATGCTCCACATCCTCGAGAGCTCGGCAAAGAAAAACCGGATTTCGGGGTTCGAGTTGCGCTGCTTTGGCGGAGTCTTTGGAGTCTAGGGTCTTGATATTATTGTGTTTGGGGTTTCTGGTGCACTTGGGGGGCCTCTTGACTCTTGAATATGTATATGTAAGGGTTGGGTTCGGGAAATCGAAGATGAAAGGCATTAGGGCTTTGAGAACTCGAGATGGAGTTCTCGAGACTTCTTCGAGGTTCAGGCAGGCGAATGTCTGCAGGCCCTTCAAATCGCAAGCAAACATATGCGACGTTCCTCCCACCACAGCTACTACTGCTGCTTGTACTACTGCTGCGGCTGCTGCTACCACTACAAATACCACGTCGACGACCTCCGCCGTCCCTGCCTGCACACCGCCACGAACACCACCACCGCCAACACAACGACGAGGACAATGACTACAAATAGTTACCACTGCACATCCGGATGCACGCAATGTATAAGCCACCGAGGAACCACGTGCAGCAACATGCCAAGAACAACACTGACACTAACAGCATGTTTGCACACGCATGACAACAGCTGGTTTGGGCCCAGGTCGCAATCTTGTGATACTGCTCAACTATACGATCATGATAAAGGCTGTAGCTGCCATAGTCGTGGACTATGTCGCAGGGTCCTCACCACCACCGAAGCCGAACATCACTGAGGACCGGCAAGGATGGTGGCCAGCAGATCTACGGGCCAAGCTGCAGACGTCGGGAAGCTTGAGGGCACAGGCTCTGGTGATTATGCTTATAGGTCCACTTCTGGAACTTATGGCTTAAGATTTGGGACTCAGGGAAGCAAGGGAGGGTCATTTCCCAGTTCATCTTAGCTCATACCCCCATACCCCCCCCCCTACGCTT